GTATTATTTTGGAGCTGTCATATAGTACAGATGATAGCAGTTTTGAATTCATATTATAGCAGTTTCTGTAAGATAAAATGTGCATCACAAGATTCAATAGAAATTCCCTCAAATGTAGCTGAAAGTGTTGGGATAGTGGTAAGGGAAAAAAAGCTATTAAAAAATACAAGCCACTAGAGCAGTAGTATTGCCAGTGTCCTGATTTTAAGCAATGAATCTCTTTGTATAAAATGACAAGTGGAACAAAAAAGGTAATGCTCTCTAGACCAGAGGTGCTCTCTAGAGAGCTCCATTCAGGTGGTCCCCGGATAGTTCCCTCTAAGGTGCGCACCTGGGCGGCCGCACACGAGAGAATGAAGGGCCAGCCACCTAATTAGTGGAGCTTCGCAGGCATGGCTCCACTAATTAGGTGCCTGGACCCTGGAGAAGATGCACATGTACGGTGAGGTGGTGGCCTTGCGGGGAATAGGGGGTAGGTGGGAGGGGGCAGTGGGGTGAGAAGCGGGGGTGGGGGGAATTTGGGACATGCAGGACTGCGGCGGTCAGAGAAAGAGGTGACTTTCCCCAGCTCCAGGGCTGCAGTTGCCAGGGAGAGACCCCCCCGTCCTTCCCAGCCCCAGCTCGGGGGCTGCCGTGGCGGGGGAGAGAGGGCACATCCATCGCATTAGAAAGGTAAGACAACTGATATTAAAATCTGAGTTGTGAGCTTTTATTTGTAGAACCAAAAAATGTTAATAAGCCTTTTTTTTATATAGCGCTTTTATCCAAAGTGCTTTACAATAGTTAGCTAACGGTACAAACAACATTTGGAAAGATCATTAAGTGGTCCGCCAAGACCCTCAGCAATTTTCAAGTGGTCCGTGAAAAAATAAATAAATAAATAGAGAACCACTGCTCTAAACTATGTAAGTTTGTTTCGTTGGTTGTGTTTTTAAGGACTTTTTTTTAAAAGTGTTTAAATGACTGAATTAGAGCTTTTTAATCAATTTAAAAAGTGACTATTATGAAAAATAAGAGCAATCTGTCATCTCAAAGCCTCCGATCAATGATGGTATGAAATATGAATAAATAAATCATATTTGTTTATAGCAGATCACCACATCACTGTATAGGAGTCAACACCTTACCTACTTTTAACAGAAAATAACATAGTAAGTTAGCGTCTGTCTAACTCCCCTTTAGGAGTCACTAAATCTTCTGGCCAGAGGGCATTAGCCTTTTCTGATCTCTCACAATGCAGTTCCAGCTCTGAAGTGACAGCTTTAATTTCTATCCCACAATGCCCTATAAACTGATAAAGATCCTATTTAATGATAGTAAAGAACAAGGGGCAGGGCTGGGAAGTCCAAACTAATCATCCCTAATTTAAAATTGGCAGACTGAGCAATGTGTTCTAATAAGGTAATCCCAGTATGATTCTTCTTCTATCCTTTTCCAGTAAACATACGAGTTAGGTCTACTGAACAGCAGATTAAGTACTGATTATAAAGACTGGGTTTATGCTATATCAGTAGGTGCTGCCACAGAGTCATGCCTGTTGTAAATCCTAGCCAATAGGTCACATGGCTCAGAAACCAACCAAAGGAGGTGCTGGCTGCCCTTCCCCAGCTGCTCTCACTCGCACCAGTCAACATTTTGGCTCTTCACTATTCACTTAGTAGCCAGCAAAAGGAGAGGAACAATATCAACCTCTGTCAGGTATTGCTCCAGTGTCATGCTCAGTTCAGGCAGAATTAAGAACATGGTTGTAAGCAGCTTTTGTTGATTAGATGAAAGAACTTTTCTTCAGCCTACAGTACCTTTCAGCATACATTAATCAGAGCCCCATGAGTTCAGATTATTCCAACTGGATGATTTCATAAAGTTTGTTTTCCAATGCCACTTTGATAGTCTCTGCAGCATGTTACACTTTCCACTGACACTACGATATTTCCATATTAACTGTAAAAATGTCATTACCAAGATGCAAACTGGAGAAACAGCATGGAGGAGGGAGGAAGACAAATGGATACACTTAATAAAACTCTCAACGGATATATTTGTGTGCACATGCGCATTCCTGTTAAGCAGATTACAAACTGGGTAAATTGTTCATAATGCAACATGTTTTTTTCTAGGGGGGCAAAGTTTATAAAAGACCTTCATATGGAAACTACTGCCTCTCAGTAATAGAAAGACATATTCTTACATAAAGAAAGGAGAGAGATTGTACTATTTTTAACTGAACATTGAATCGTCACTCAGAAAAACATTCTGCAGTCCATATACATGTTAACCTTAGACTGTAGTACAATTGTCATTGGCAACATAATTAAAACAAACTCTTCATTATGATGGGTGGAACATCAATTGCTAGTCACTGGAAGATAAATCTGTTTACCCTCTTTCCAAAGCAGAGCTATAACTTAAAATAAAATAAATAAATAAAACAAAACCCAAAGCCACAGAGCTCTGACTTGCTACAGCTGCACTGCATTTTAAAATAAATTGATGACAGGCCTCTACGGGAGATATACAGTGAAAGTAATGCACTAACTTTGTCCTTTATGGTTAGCAACTTTAAGGTTTCCCCTGACAGCGAACCATAGCACACCGCAAAAGCCTGATCCTAAGTCCATTGAACTCAATGAGCTTTTGATCAGGCCTCTAGTCTTTTGAGTAATTGTTATATTTGGTATGTCCCCAACTAGCAACAGGTTTTCCAAGATATTTGTAGCAACGTTGGCAACAGCATTAAAAAAAGTGACCAAGCTTGCACAGAAAAAAATCGAGCTATTTCTGCCTATATTTGGATGAAAATCTAAAATCAGGCCTCTTAATAAAATCCTATATAGTGCTTCCTGTGAGCTGTTACAGAAGAACACGTATATTAGTGTTGAAGAGACAGAAACAGAGATAAAAGGCCACAGGACTCTTCCTGTTATAGACACACACAGTACCTATCCTAGAAGATAACGAAGTTGCAACTATCTTGTTTTAGCTGCTAACTCTAAAAGTTACATTTAGGAGCATAATAAAATACCTCCCTTTTAAGTTACTCAAGGGTTAGTATTTTTCTACCAACATATGAAGGTTTTAGAACATAATACAAAATGCATTTGATTTAAAAAACTTCTTATGCACTCTTTCTAGTCTAAAAATCAAGTTATAGTTGTCCTGACACAATGGAGGCCTGATTTTCAGGTCCTGAGCATCTGCAGTTCCCACGAGTTTAAATGCTCGGCACCTTTGAAAAAGCAAGGCCCTTGGCATTCTTGTCCTAGAAGTGACCTATTCATTAAGTGACTTATTCAATGAATTTTAAGTATGCATATTAGTTTCAATATCTTTATAGAGAATAAAATATAATTTTTATCAATCTGTTGACCTCTGCCTTCCATCTCCAATCAAAGTCCATTACTAAACCCCTTTTCAGATATAAATTCTGCTGGAACCAGTAAATTCTTTGGTTCTGACACACACACACACACACACACACACACACACCCCCCTTCGTAAAGCATAGAAATGATTCTATTTCTCCTATTTCTATTTATTTGGAATGATTACTTTTGAATAGCAAATGAATCTTAAAAAACTCCAAAACATTTAAGTCACTACAAAGTAAACCTAGCCTCAGACACCTGTCAGTCCACAGGCTATAAATTAGCTCTTTTATAAAGGGACACACACGTCTACCTTTAAGGCAACCTTGCAAAATTACAAAGATTTACCAATTCAGGTGCAAAGTCTGCTCACCCATGTTAACCATAAATGAACAAAATTAATTATATTTTTGCCCACCAAAACAGTTACTTGCCCTTGAGGAGTAGAGTTTTGTGTAGTTGGATTATGGTACAGTAATATTTTAAATACTAGTTTAAAAAGTGTTAAATTAACAAGTCTAAATAAATCAATACAAGTTTAAATTAAGAATTAGAGGATAGGACTTCGGATTCATGATTCTGTTAGAATTACAAATTGTGTCACTCACTTGAACACATCCTGTCTCCCCCCCTCAACAACATTTGATTTTTAAATTGGATGGTTATCTGCATGGGCCATCCCTAGAGGGATGCAGGGCCTGGGACAACATCCCCCCTCCGCCCCAGGCCCCACTCCATCCCTTCCCCTAACCCCCCACCCCGCCTCTTCCTGCCCCTGCTCCGCCTCCTTCCGGCTTCTGTCCCCTCCCCCAAACGACACCGGGAGCCACAGCAGGGCGGGACTGGGGTCCCTCCTGCTGCTCGGTGAGTGCCGGCCCAGGCCTGACCCCTGCTGCCAGCACCAGGTCCCCCGCTAACTCCCTGGGCCAGCCTGGCCCCCTGCACCCTAACCCCACCCCGGGCCAGCCTAGCACCCCCCGCATGACATGCACACAGTTATGTGGTTATATGGACTTCTTCATGCTGCTATGCCCTATCAAAAATATTTGAAATTATCTCAAATTACGAGGTCTTAATTTCTATAATCCTCCTCAAAATAGAAGGAAATAGAGAAACAAGGCAGGTGAGGTAATAGATTTTCTTGGACCAACTTCTGTCAGTGAGACACCCAAGCTTCTGAGCAACAGAGCTCTTCTTTAGGTCTGTGAAATATACTCAGGGTGTTACAGCTAAATATAAGGTGGAACAGATTGTTCAGCATAAATAGTTAATACATATTTCAAGATGAAGGGGCCCATTAACACCCCTCCAGTCATAGGGGGAAAGGAGGTAGGGGGAAGAGAGCTGGCAGGAAAAAGGGGGGGGAAGGTTATAGATTGTTATAAACCACTGTCTCTGTTCAGTCCGTTCTTTTTAGTGTCTAATAGTTATAATTTAAGCTCCCAGGCTCATCTTTTGAAGGGGTTGAGCAGATTTCCTTTGCGGATAAGGACTGAGACCAGATATAGAGTGATCGCTTTGTGAAAAGTGTTAGAAGGAAACAGTCACCTAAAAAAGGTAAGTTACTAATCTAAAGTAAAACATAAAATGTACATTGAATACTACAAGATACAAGACATGAAACATAACACTCACCGGTTTGGGCATTTTCAGCTCTTGCAGTGGTTCTGTTGTTCCAGAAACAAATGCTCATACAGAGGCTTGAAGGTGTTTGTTCTTTTTCCAAGAGATCTGATAATAGGAGAGTAGAAAGAGTTCTAGTTTACTGAGAAGGGGGCAAAGTAAAGAACTTTAAAACCTCTGCTGGGATTCTTAAGTAATCAGGGGGAGTAGCAAGGATGATTCATACATGACCAACAATTACCAAGGAACTCCACTGGTTTAAAAAAAAAAAAAAAAACCACACCACACTACTCACAAGTGACCTCGCCCAGTGGGGAAAAAAACCCAGCTGCAACCAGAGAAGGTCATTTGGCCAGACACACCCATAAGACTAAATACAATTTCAACACCTTTCCTGACTCCTGCGCGGCATAAACTTAATAACCTGGGAAAGAAGAAGGAGGGGACAGAAACTGGAAACTATTATCAGCCCTCGGTTTGCAACACAGCCCGCCCGGGCTGCTGCCAGCAAGCAGGTCGGAAGCATTCAATACAATTAAGATCCTGCCTTGCAAAGCAGGCACTTTAGAGTCCTTGCGAGGAGCCGCTGAAGGATCCTGCCCAGAGAGCCCCGGAGGGGTCAGGGCAGCACCTGGCTCCCTTTGCCCTTAAACAGCCACCAGGGAAAGAGAGGAGCCCAACAGCTCTTGGGGTCAAGCTGAAGGCGGACTCTAGCCTACAGTCTGCAGAGCCCCAGAGCCGGCGGGGCTCGCTTGCCTGCTCCCCCTCTGTCGCGCGGCGCTGCGGGCAGCACCTGGCCCCGGGAGCCCCGCGCCCTAGAGAAGCGGGAAGACGGCGGCGGCAGGAGGGAACTCCCGGCGCGCTAATCCCCGCAACACCTGTTGGCAGCGCCGCCCCGTCCTCCCGCGGCCGGACACGGGCGCGGAGGAAGGGGGGGGGAAGCCGAGTGGCTGCTCGGGCTCCGGCCCCGCCGGCTGGGGAGGGGACTTACCCGGCTGTCCTCTGCGGCGACTGGGCACACTAGCAGGCGGCCGTGGGGTGCGCTCGGGTCCCTGTGCGCGCCTCTGGCCCCGCCCCGCCGCTCCCACTGCAATATGGCCGAGCGGGGGCCCGCCTCCTCGCCGGGGCTGTGCCCCAGCCTCCCTCTCTCCACCTGCCTCTGCGGGACCGCAATAGGGGCTGAGAGCGGCGCGCGCGGAGTCCTCTCCCGTGTGGACAGCTTGAGTCCGGCTCAGAGCGTCCACGCGCGGCCTTAATGCGGGGCTGCCTCCCTGCGCACACATTGCAAGCCCTCCGGCAGGGCTGCTCCTACCTGCAGCGCTCTCGGCGTCCCTCCCGGCCAGTCAGCGTGGCGCTCTTCTCCCAGGACTGAGGCTGGGAAATTACCGCGGGGCATTTTAGGGTGCAGCGATGAACGAGCATTAGCTCCGGGTTTAGGGAGAGAAGCAAACAACAGGAAGGAGCCTCCAGTAACAAATAACACACGTATCTGGGGAACTTACCCAGACTTGGTTTTGTTTGGTTTTAGCGCTGTTGGGGTTTGGACAAAAATTCTTCTCCCCACTAGCCCCTCCCCCCCCCGCATTGTTCTCCCCACATATAATTTGAGGAAGTACTTTCATTGCAACTAGCACTTTGGCATGTGCTTATAACTTTCTCCATTTTCTTCCTTATCCTAGAACTGGAAGGGACCTCGAGAGGTCATCTAGTCCAGTCCCCTGCACTCAAGGCAGGACTAAGTCTTATCTAGAAGACCATCCCTGACAGGTGTTTGTCCAACCTGCTCTTAAAAATCCCTAGTGGTGGAGATTCCATAATGTTCAGAGGCAATTTAGTCCAGTTAGGAAGTTTTTCCTAATGTCCAACCTAAACTGACCTTGCTGCAATTTAAGCCCATTGCTTCTTGTCCTATCTTCAGAGGTTAAGAAGAACAATTTTGCTCCCTCCTCCTTGTAACAACCTTTTATGTACTTGAAAACTGTTATCATGTCCCCTCTCAGTCTTCTCTTCTCCAGACTGAAAAAATTGGGTTTGTTTAATCTTCCCTCATAGGTCATGTTTTCTAGACCTTTAATCATTTTTGTTGCTCTTCTCTGGACTTTCTCCAATTTGTCCACATCTTTCCTGAAATGTGGTGCCCAGAACTGGACACAATACTCCAGCGGAGGCCTAATCAGCGCGGAGTAGAGAGGAAAAATTACTTCTCGTGTCTTGCTTACAATACTCCTGGTAATACATACCAGAATGACATTTGCTTTTTTTGCAACAGTGTTACACTGTTGACTCATATTTAGCTTGTGATCCACTCTGACCCCCAGATCCCTTTCCGCAGTACTCCTTCCTAGGCAGTCATATCCCATTTTGTATGTGAGCAACTGATTGTTCCTTCCTAAGTGGAGTACTTTGCATTTGTCCTTATTGAATTTCATCCTATTTACTTCAGATCATTTTTCCAGTTTGTCCAGATCATTTTGAATTTTAATCCTATCCTCCAAAGCACCTGCAACCCCTCCCAGCTTGGTATCATCTGCAAACTTTATAAGTGTACTCTCTGCCATTATCTAAATCATTGATGAAGATATTGAACAGAACCGGACCCAGAACCAATCCCTGTGGGGCCCCACTCATTATGCCTTCTAGCATGACTGTGAAACACTGATAACTGCTCTCTGGGAACGATTTTCTAACCAGTTTTGCACCCACCTTATAGTAGCTCCATCTAGGTTGCATTTCCCTAGTTTGTTTATGAGAAGGTCATGTGAGACAGTATCAAAAGCCTTACTAAAATCAAGATACTACATCTACTGCTTCCCCCCATCCACAAGGCTTGTTACCCTGTCAAAGAAAGCTATCAGGTTGGTTTGACATGATTTGTTCTTGACAAATCCATGCTGACTGTTACTTATCACCTCATTATCTGCTAGGTGTTTGCAAATTGATTTCTTAATTATTTGCTCTATTATCTTTCCGGGTACAGAAGTTAAGCTGGTTGGTCTGTAATTCCCCAGGTTGTCCTTATTTCAATTTTATAGATGGGCACTATATTTGCCCTTTTCCAGTCTTCTGGAATGTCTCCTGTCTTCCATAACTTTTCAAAGATAATTGCTAATGGCTCAGATATCTCCTCAGTCAGCTCCTTGAGTATTCTAGGATGCATTTCATCAGGCCCTGGTGATTTGAAGACATCTAACTTGTCTAAGTAATTTTTGACTTGTTCTTTCCCTATTTTAGACTCTGATCCTACCTCATTCTCACTGGCATTCACTATGTTAAACGTCCAGTCGCCTTTTGTGCTGAAAATTTTCATGCTTATTCTCAGCACAGAGAGGAGGATTTTGTGGTTGTCTTTTTGGTAGTTTGCAAATTTTCATGGATGGGGCTGTTTTTGACTAATGTGAAACAAGATGTTTTTCGCACCTTAAGAAAACTTTCTGACACTTTTTATTTCTTTGGCTAGCTCATTTGTGTGTGTGTTTGTGTGATATAGTCAGTGATGTAGTGCTAAATTTTACAGTGCATGAGCCCTGCAGAAGTGATATTAAGTTGGTAATTCTGTCACACGTGAGAGTCTCCAGTCCAAAATCTATCTTGTGTGTGACATCATCATAAGATAGAGCACCTATACTAACTTTTTTACCACTAAATTTTATCTAATTGAGAGTCTGTGCAGCAGCAGTTATGAGACTTCACACATTAGTAATAAGTACATATATGACATCAACATAAACCACCTGTAACTCAGTATTTATGTGCCAGACTTTAAGTAGCAAGGCACATCTAAAGCACACATATAGTTAATCAAAAAGACCACTGGTGAGACATGTAAAATACTGGTTTTACAACATTAATATTCTCTGCAAACTTAAAATAAGGGCAAGATTCACTTGTATGCTCCAGCTGCTCTTTGGACATTTCATAAACCCAATTTAACTGGCTGATCAGACCAAGTTGGCAATGGGTCTCCACTAGACTCCACTTATTCTGACAGCCCCCAGGCATCCCAGTAGCCCTGATGTACATCCTGCTCACTGCAGCCCCCAACATCCCCCACTTGCCCCCAATCCATCACCCCACAGCTTCCCAACACTCCTTCTGTAGTCCAACAAGAACTCACGGCCAACAACCTTCCTGGCCTTTCACCAGCACCTCCCTGGCTCAGTGCGCTATTCCTGTGCCTGGCTAGGGTGGCTCCTCCCAATCCCAGCCACCACTTGCTCCCATTGTCTGCCACACTCACATAGCATGCACCAAATTTGAGTAATGAATGGTGTTGTGACCTGGCATGCGGGGCTGCCGCGCCTCTCAGGTTTGTGCCAGGACACTTCCCCTCATCATGGAGGAGCAGCCAGGCCAAACCTGAGTCGTGCTGTGACCCTGTGCACCTGGTGAATTGCTGGCGCTCCTCTGTATCCTGGATTTCAGGTGCCGGAATGACATTCCAGACTGCTTTGGCAGCACTAGACCCCTGGATATATTGCAACAGTTTATTCACTAATGGTCTGCTCCTTCCATCCTGAGGTTCGACTAGTCCAAGGGGCAGAGGAGAAAGCTCCATAACCCCGGATGCAATGTTTCCATCTCTCACAGTTTTATTAGGCAAGGGGGGATGGATCACTTGATTACCTGTTCTGTTCATTCCCTCTGAAGCACCTGGCATTGACCACTGTTGGAAGACAGGATACTGGGCTAGATGGACCTTTGGTCTGACCCAGTATGGCCGTTCTTATGTTCTCTCTTAATCTTTGCTGCTTTTCTTAAAGCCCCAGCTGCTGGAGACATAATTATATGTAATACTTGGTTTGGCCGCAATAACTGGGTCTAATTTTGGTTGTCGGGCTTAGTGCGTGGGTGGTGGTGGTGGTGGTCTGTGTTATACAGGAGGTCAAACTACATGATCTGGTGGTCCCTTCCGGCCTTAAACTCTATGACCTGATAATCTCATCTTTTGTTTTTATTAAATGTTGCTAGGTCTCATGAGTACAGAGAAAAGCTTGAACACATGACCCAAGTGCATCCCAAAGGCTCAGAAACCAGAAGGCAAAATAAAAATAACCCCCCTATTTTTTTTATATCTCATGATTTTTTTACACCAATCTATGAGTTTGGAGGTCTGTCTTTTGATTTTTCAATATGAAGGGTCAGTGATACTGTGCATCTGCCCCTCCCCCCTCTTCTCATATGCAAATATGCTTCTGTGGATAAAGCAGCAGGCAGTTCCTTGAAAGCGCCTGTGCTTCCATCCCGGCTTGCACAGTATCCCCTCCATAAGAACAGTGTATAGAGCTGCAGGCAACAGCCTGTAGGCCCATACTTCTTTCATTTATTCCTGTGATGGCACTCAACTGAGCTACAAGACAGAAGAGCCCCCACAGTCCAGCCGCTGCTGCCATCAGTGTGTGTGGGGGGGGGGGGGGGGGGGAGGGTTCCTCAGGTCAGCTTCGTGTGGAGTGTCCTGTTTTCCATTTGGACAGAAAAGTATAGGTGAAACTTGACAGAAAAAAAAGACAGCACAATGGTACAGGGCACGGGCATAAAGGGGTGCCTCCCTCACCACCAATCCATCACCAAGCCTCCACCAGGCAATGGTTGAAGTCCCTACACCAAAGAAAAGGAATCATCACCAATTCAAGAATTGAAAAGGAAGGTGATAAACGACATAAGAGGGTGAAGTACATGGAGTGAAACAAGAGGTTAATAGTATTTCACATTTATATGCCTTTCTTGCTCTTGATGAAGGATCCCCAAACACTTTACACTACACACATGCATCGCCACTGAAATGCAGACATTGCCAGGGGAGCTGAGAGTGGCCCCAACTGGCACACAGCAATGGAGGAGAGGAAACAGTTTAGTTACGCCATGAAAACTAGCTTTTATGAAAAGGGTCATGG